GAGCCACTCACAGCGCTTGAGGCTACAAAGCTCCTAAGCACCGGTCGCTGTGATTGGTGGTGTCCAATCGAGCCGTGATCAATCGGAATCACCTCCACGCATGCACGCACACACGATATGCAAAATCTGACCATACAACCTCTTCGCGGTGCATATTGGTTAATACTATAATGCCGGCGGTAACAATTTATTTACCAAAATTATTGTTTATGTAATGTTGCATACAATAATTATTTAAATTGTTAAATTAGATTTTTCTCGTCATGTAAGCATGATTATTTCGCTTTATTTTTATGTACTTTGTCTCTCCAAAGTACAATGTCTGCTCTTTCGTATGTTTCGATCCACTGTGCATCGAGGCTTTCGTGATGAAGACCTCGGTGGTCTAATGGCTGAAAACCGCTGTACACGTAAGAGGTGATTTCACCCCTTCAAACCGTTTTTTAGCCGCAACTGATATTTTTTAAATTCATCTCTTTATGTAAGCTACAAGTTCACAAAGTTTCATTCAAATCAGAATTTATCACCTCGAGAGGTTCCCTTGTAAGTAGTGTATCCACGGTTACCAGGTTTCCAGATTTCGACTGGAGACTCCAGTTTTCGGGACCAATCTCCAGTTCTCCAGCAGACGAGAAAAATCTCCAGTTTTTCGCTCGCGTGGAGTATTTATTAATTGCATACTTAAATTACGTGGAAAGTAATAAGAAATTCTGTGATTATGTTCGGAGTTTATGTTATTTTACGAATAATAAAAAAGTTTATAATTATGTTCGCACTGTATGTAATCTTGTAATAATAATAAAAAGGTCTCTGTGATTGTGTTGACACTTTATGTTGGTCAAATATTAATAACAAAAAGAAAGTCTGCAACAGTAGTAGCAAAACACGAATTAACCTTGCGCCTTTTTTTCTCTTTTTTTTTCAATGAAACAATCGGCCGGCCTCCAGTCGAAATATGAAATCTTCACCGCACGGACCTTCGGGCCCCAGTTGTACAGTGCTCGGGATCTGGCAACTGTGAGTGTATCAAATGTGGTCGACAATAAGGAGAGAGAGGTCCGTTGGAGACGGCCAATCCCCCTCTCATTCTCTCTCCAATTACACCATATATACTACTGGAAGGAGAATAGGGCGCTGAACGTGATGCCAACATCTGTGCGAGAGAGAAAGGTATAGAGTAATATATGCGCAATGCGCATGCGTCAGTGCCATCGTATGTGTGAAATGAATTGTACAGTTGTGTTAGTGTTCTCACGCATTTTTACTGTTTGTTTCAGGAGTTTTAGGTTACGTATCTTAGACAAAATAACAATAAAATTGACATAATCTATTGTATTTAATAAATTAGTGTTAAAATGAATTTTAATATAAGAATGCATGCAATGTGAGAAACCTTTTCAAAAGAAATGAAATAAATATGAAATAAATAAAATAAGAAATAAGAAATAAATATGAAATATGTATTAAATAAAAAATAAATATGAAATATGTATTAAATATCTATAACATATGTAAACATAACCTACATGTTATTATATAATTAATGCCTTAATAAAATATTACATACAATAAGGGCCTGCGCACAATAGGGGAATAGGAATAAATATTAGATATTAGGAATAGGAATTAAGAATTAAGATTAAATGTAACGCACAATGTGTTTAATGAGATATAAGATATAAATGTATCGTATATCTCATACCATCTTATACAGATACAAATAACCCCTTTATCTTAATAAAGTATCACGATATAAAATAAGTTCCAATCAATAAAATAAGCAAATAATTTCAAAGAGTGGCACAAGAATAAATAAACAAAATTACAAGTTGTGCACGCAAAACTTGAAGATATTGTATCTGCCGATCTGTTCATATAGATATCATAACCTCACTGTATTTAATCTATAAAACAGTGTTAAAAATTATGAAAGTTACCACTGAAAAAAATCTCGCAGTCTTATTAGCGTGTATAACTTTACAAATAGGCATTTCGAGTATGTTAAGAAAAAAAAGAAAGCATAAGAGGTGGAGAAATAGACGTTGGTGGGTTCGTCCTATCAACTTACAAAGGGATATTCTTGATGACTATTCAGTTCTAGTCAAAGAACTTAAGAAGGATAAAAATCTCTTTTTCCGCTATACTAGAATGTCATTAGAAGTGCACAATAATCTTTTGAAAAAGATATCGCCAGCATTAATGAAAACTAGTTTAAGGAAGCCACTAACACCAGAACAATGTTTATTAATAACATTGAGGTATTTGTTGTCTTCATTTCTTATTTTATAATATAGACAAATTATTTATGAGGAAGTTATGTATATTTTGTATATACATATATGTGTGTGTGTATGTATATACAGGGTGTCAATTATGTACCGGGACGGTCATCGTAACATTTAAAAAATTGAGTGTTTCGATATTCGCTGAAACACGTGAAACGATTTTTCAAAAAATCTACTTTTTGCGGGGGGTGGTGCCCTCCCCCCCCCCT